GGTTTTTTCTTAACTGGCAATTACTTGATTTTAGTAGGACACCCAAGACTGCATAAATATTTAACTGGAAAGGCCATACATGTGTGTGCATGCATTTTGTGTCTAAAAATAGGTTTGTTTGAACAGGATTCAATTCTGACTTCGCCTGCTTCACTTTTAACATGGAGCAGAACTCCATGTGGAAAAACTGATGCCCTGTTATTGGCCAGCTAGAATTCCCCTTGCTTGGCACTGCCCTTTTTCAACTCGTCACTACCATGTACTTTCATTTAGTCAGCAGTAATATATGTAAATTAGTTCTGGGCATGAAGGAATAAAGAACAGATGGCTTAGAAAATACTTTTGAAATTAGGGGGTTTTTTTTAAAAGTAGTTTTGAACTCTGCCTGATTTTTCCAACTTCTTTTACTAATTATTTGCATTTACCCTTTCTTAATTCTAAGTTTAACATAACAAATGTGGAGTTAATATTTTTTAAACTTGGTATCTAATATGCCAGATTTCACTCCTTTTCCTAACAGAAGAATTGACAGAAATACACGGCATTAAATAAGACTGCAAAATCACATTTTAATGCTACAAAAGTACAGAACTAAGTCTCCTGTGCTAATTGAGAGTGCTGACACATGGGTATACAGTGACTTTTCATTCTGAGCTCAGACCAGTAACAAACTTTCGAGGAAAGCAAGTGTACGTTACCTTGTCTTGTTTTCTGCTTGCTGAGAGTTGGTCACCAGGAGGCACAGGGACATGCCAAGGGAGGCCTGAGTCTGAATTTCCATCTGTAGAGGTCTGTAGAGTGTATGAGGTGTGTGGTACGTGCCAAACGGCTGCCTCTACAAACTGTTATTCTTTCTTCCTGGAACTGCAAAAGTAAGAGCTCATACAAAGATTTTTATCCTTGATAAGTAAGTGTTGAGATCTGCTGACATTTCTGAGAGTGATGCCACTCTTTGAAGCGTTGAGGGCTTAGGTTTGTACAGCATGGACAGCTGCCCCTGAGGAACTCTGCTGGGCACCATCCACTTGTTCCACTGGCACCATTAGAACAATCATAGATGGTGATTGATTTGCTGCCCACAGAGATGAAGTTTAAGGTCAAGGACAATGGCTGAATTCTGAAGGGAAGCATCTCTAATGCCATATGTCTCCTGCTAACCAAGCATTGAAAAAAGGCAATAATGAAAGCAGTTAATCTGCAAAGAGATGATACAAAGCTTAGGTTTGCAAAAGGTATCTGGAACTTGCTTCAGAGTTTCAACCCTAGTAGTAAGAAAAGAATGACTGAGAAGATGACTGATACTCTAACTGTCATACAGAGCACTTAAACACTTCTCAGCTTTTAAAGTGATGCCCAAAGTCATTAGGGAAGGGCTATTAAATTTTAATGTAGTTCTTCTAAAACTGGCATCTGATATAATTTTAGTGTGATAAATTTTGTTAGCAGACAGTATTTCATGTGTAGATAGCTGGTACAAATAAATGCTCTCCTGTTGGCATTTCCCTTTAGTATGTTTTGTTCCAATTTCTAATTATTTGTCAACACAGATTTCTCCAGGTAGACCTTGGTTTTAAACAACAAAAAGGGCAGAACTTGTAATGTGGGGTGTGGAGACGGGGAAAGGAGGAATAGAATAGCAGTAATATTCTGTATAGAGCAGTCACAGTGGTGTCAGAGACTGTTACTCAAATCTCTGGTCTTGTTCTGCCAGATATCTCACCTTCAGCAGCAGGAGTGCTGAGACAGGATCAGGATCTGTGCAGGGGTGTCTGTGGTCACGGAGGTGTCAAGGAGGAATTTTCCAGCAAGCTGTACAGATAAAATAGCACCTGGCAGTTCAGCAGGAACTAGATATAGTTGAAATGGCTCTATCATTTGATAAACAATATTTTAGTTGTCCCGAGGTGGTTACCTGAAAACAAGGTATTTGTGCCAGTTGTTGCATTACTGAAGAATGGAACAGGCCAGCTGAGCTTGCTGATAAGTGTGCAATGTTCAGTGCGTGGTGCTGCTTCCACCAGAACTGAACCACTTGGTTTGCTGTATGTGCCTGAGGCTTTTATGCCTCTGTGTGCCTTTCTGCTCCCACTGTGTTCAGGTGAAGGTTTCATATCTCAGCTTTTTATTAATATTTAAATTTGCCATCATTTCTGTAATCTTGTTTCAGATATTAGCTCAGGATTTGAGTGGACTGGCTGAGATATGGGTTACACGAGCATGGGATGAGGTTTGTTTCTGCACAACTTGAAGAATGTTAAATTACAGATAGCTTATCATCTGTAATGCCAGTGCAGCAGATCCTCAGTGAGTGGAAATTTGCCTGAGATGTTCACTGCTAACATTGTGGTTATCAGGTTTACACCCACAGCAGACAACCTTTACCTCAAAAAGTTGACATTCATAGTGGATTTTGGCAGCCTTAGAAATTGGAATTCAGTGATAAACCCCTACTATCAAATTGTGGGGGGGGGGGGGAAGTGTTTTGAAGGTTGCAAATTATTACAATGTGGGAAATTTTGCATGGTAAGATTGTTGCATAAATTATGAAAAGCGGATTTAAACAAATATTGGCAATGTCCACACATACAGTTGTTACCTGTATGTATTTGATAACAGAATTGTTGTTTGATGAAATAACGTTTGTCTGTTTGGTTGCATCTCAGTATACTGAGTGTTTTAATAGATTGGTTATATGAGAGAGGTGCAGCAGACCTCAGGAGGGTGAGACATCTGCATATAAACAAACTTGTAGTAGCAATGGATTTGAAGTGGATTGGGGTTTCTGAACATAATTTTTTGGTAAAAGGTGTGGGTAAAATGTTAAAAGCATGTATACATACACTTACCAAATACACCCAAGAAAGGTTTTAAGTGCAGATACCATTTCTGACTCAAGTATTTTAAGCTATAACGGCTGGATTCCTGGGGAGTGTTCCAGGAAGGTACCCCTGCACCTCTAATGTGACCATGTTCTTATATTCGTTCATTTTGCTAACTGCTGTTGGTTATTACTTAATACTGGGGTAGATGGACTTCTGGTTCAAGCTGTCCCTGTGTTCCAAGTGTCCTCCCTTTATATCTGTACGTTTATTCCCCCTGCTGTGTGGAGGGATAAGAAAGCTGAATTAGCTGTTGGTATTTTTGGATGTTGCTGTTTGGCAGTGGCTGTAGGAGTTATCTCTGATGTTGCTCCAAGCACTCGAGAGCAGAGGATGGTAACTCTGCCTGGTTCCAGCAGTTACAAAGCTAGCTTTGCAAACCCCATCGACAAAATCTTGGAGAATTACTGCCTTTTGATACATTTTCATTAGAAGTCATTAGTTAAATATTACAGGCATTAGGCTTTAGATCTCTTTAATGTTCCCAGTTCTTCACAGGTCTGTGTAGACCTGTGTATACTATGTAAATGGCAACAGAATTTATCTTGGGTAGTTACTTGTCCCAACATCATCTCTCACATCTATGGCAATTTCAGCTGGAGTTGCCTAAAATTATTTCTAAATAATGGGTAGCCTAGGCCTGCTGTTATTGAATTATATAATTAATTTACCTTCATAATGGAAATCTAAATTTTTGACCTATTACGTAATGTAAAAATACCAAAGCTTGGAGAAAGGCTTCTAGTCTAAATTTCAATACTATGTTCTGTTTTGTAATTGTAGCGTGTCTGCAACAAGAAGTCTGCCTTCCCCCAACCCAGAAAAATATGGGTCCTATTTTAACTCTTCAACGTATGGTATTAATTCTTGATGGAAAGCTATTTGTGGTTATACTTAGGGTGATTTCTTTTAGTTAAACCTTACATGTTGGGTTTTTTCTCATGTGTCCTTACTTAGTCTGCTTTAATAAAGTTATATTACTTTTTATACAAAGCAGTGATTTCTGATGCAGAGACTTCAGCCATATTGTAACTCCATGGCTGTGGCTGTAATTATATCAGCTAATGGCAACCACTGGCTGTAGGCCAAGTAAAACAATTAAGAACGATCTGAAATGTTAGGTGAAACAATGAGACACGTGAAGAGTTTGGTAGTGCTTTAGTAAGTCTCTTAAATTCTCTTTACTCACCAAAAAGCTCAGTTAGTAGATCACTGTTTTTGTTGGAGATGAGCACGTTTGTATTCACGTCATACTTCAAAGCTTAAGAGAATAAAAAATTGAGCTGCCATCCTCACTTTAACCTTCCCTTTGCCAATTTAACTGGTTCTTAACCAAACTTATGCAAGTAGGTTTTTACAAATGTTCTCACTCGTGGTACTGCTTGCTGTCTGTTAACTGCTGTGTGTTTCCAACGTGCTGGACTGTGCACAGATAGCTCCTCTCAGGAGGGGATTTTACCCCACTAGGTGTGTTTGTCTGTAGAATGGTATGTCAGCCCGTGGATTAGCTGTTTGCAGCTTCCTTGTTACTAATCATGACATCTGCTTTGCAGAACCTCCTCAAGTCCTGTAGGTTTACAGGTCTGTAGAGCCCTTGAATGTTTTTATATTCACCCTTGAATTTTATATTCACCTTTGCTAGTAACCATGAATATTATTTGTTTGTATTTTTTTCACTGAATAATTAAGTTCTACAATTTGATTGCTGTATTAAGTGTTTGATCACTGCAGACTATAGAATTTCCCCTTCCACTTCATGTTGTGAAGTTTAATCCTTTTTGAAAGGGATTTACAAGTTGCAAGTGGAAGAGCTATTGGTTTTGTAACTTTTTCCAAAAGCTTTCTGCTGCTTCATTAATAAGATTGTCACAGTAGCAAAACCAACTCAGGAAGGAATGACCCTCAGAACACCTGACTGTGGCCAGCCAAGATCTGAAACAAATGCCTAAGGAAAAAGTTGGAAATATTGATCCATGTGTTACACTGGTGACTGGATTATCAAACCGGTCATCATTTCATCAGGATTTTTTTTTTTGTCCTTTATACTCTTCAGATGATTCATTAGATCCTTGAAATTAAAAAAAAAAAAAATCCTTTGAAATTCTGTTTTGTCTTCAACAGTGCCCTTAAAGATAGTCGTTTCCCCCCAATGACGAGGGATGAGCTGCCACGGCTTTTCTGCTCAGTGTCTCTACTCACTAACTTTGAAGATGTATGTGACTACCTGGACTGGGAGGTAAGAATGTCAGATGTCTTTTAAGAAAATGATTTTGATACCATGAACATCTGTAGCCAAAGTCACACTGTTTAAATGATCTGCATATATTAGTGCAGCTGTCACTGTGTTGCACTCTATACACATGGTTATGTGCATAGATTCAGGAGTTCCTTTTTGATAGAACTGTCATCACCTTAAAAGTGTGAGCCATGAAAATGGAATAAACTTGTGGGTTTGCCCACTTAGGCACTCAGAGTGGTCTTAGTGTCTAAGACTCCATCAAGCAAAGTGTTGTCTGAGCAAAGGTGTCCTGAGGCCTTGTTTGCAGCATAGCAAAGACAGAAATGTGGTAGATCAGTCCATGGACTCTGGAAAGGGGATGTTCCAGCGTGGAAGTGAATAATCCGATGTATGCTTCTGGAAACAGACACTGCAAAAAACTGGAATCCTGGAACAAGCTGCCTTATTTAGCTTGTAGGAGCAAGATATTTGTCTTTCCCAAAACTTTATTTGCTTTTGGAGTGAGTGGCCTGCACAGACCCCACAAAGCCTGTGTACAATGAGGCCAAATAAATCACTGCTCCTGGTTTTCTTTGCTCTTACGCATGGAGCTGAATCTGTTTTAATTGCCAGGTTCTAGGAAACCTGCCTGCATTCCCTGGGAACAGCAGCATCAAAGAGACTGAGAAGCAGATGCTGACGTATGTATGGCAGAGTGTGCTGACGGAAGTGTTAGTCTGTAGTACTCTGCTTTTCCCCAAATTATTTGGCATTAGACACTTGAAAAAACAAGCCTCTAGACTCAAGATGAACTTCTCATCTCAGTCATCGTGTTGTGTTGCTCTTTGAGTCTGTATTTGAGTGGACATCAAAAAGAAATCTGAAATTGTCGTACGATAGCAGATGTGCTATAATGCCAGAGACACCACACAAGCTCCAGTGTTTCCCTTTAATAATAATTTAGCCCTATTAAATATTTAGAATTTTTTGAGAGAAAAAGAGGTTTTCTGTTGTATTTACACATAAAAATATATATTGAATAGAAACTGTATTTGTTGTTAGAACACTAAAAGGCTTTGCTGTCTCAGAAAGAAGGTATCCAGCAGTAACCTCAGCATTATGAATTTAACAGTAGCTGAAAATTAACAAAAATGTGTTTCCTATTCACCTCATAATGGCGAGGGCTTCTTACCTTCCAGTATGTAATTCTGAGTTGGATGAATCCAGGTTTTCTTTGGGGTTTATCAGCATTTTCTCCATAATCAGAAATACTCATTTTTTTATGTAATGTCAGACCAAGAATAAATCTTAGCTGAAACTGTGTGTGCATTCTCAATAAGGTATTTTCTCAGAGAAGTTGTCTGCCTTGTCACTGAGCTGTTCACGTACTTTAAACAGTATTTTCAAGTAATCAAACTGTAGTGACTTAATACTAAACCAGGCTAGAAATCAAAATGGTGGAATTTTTCTCCTTCACTAGGTTGAGTTTTGGTAGCAATCATTGCGATGTTTTTAATTTAATTTCATTTATTATAATTCATAAAAAATCAGACTATGAACACGCGCTCAACATGTGAAGTGCATAATGAAATAGTATTTAGGTCGGTGCAATGTAGTAGCTTAGAAATACTATTAGATGCTGTTTTATCATCTCAGTAATACATTTATAAGATGACTCAAATACTCATCCTTAAAGAAAAGCTGAAACCAAAGCCTGAGTTCAAAAATCCACTCTCCCTTGGAAAGATTGGTTTTAACTTTGTTCCTTGGGAGGCTGCTGGTTCATAACGAATACTGTGTTAAACAAAGGAAGCTTTTACTTTTTATGTCCTTTCTGTACTTTACTGCAGAATCTGTGAGACTTGTTAACAGCAGTGTAATCAAGCTTAATGCAGAACTCCAGCCTTGCTGAGTTCTGGATGATTTTATGGATTTTCACAATTCTTGTTGTAAAAGCTCTGACTGACGAGGGAAGAATGGAGGGGTCAAAAATATAATAGTCCTTGTGTTATCCATTTGCTTAGTTGCTGTCTCCTCTTTCATTTAAGTTTTTTTAATTATAGGGTTTTAAAACTTTTAGCAAATTCCTTTGAGTTCTAAGAAATGGTCACAAAGTAGGTTTTCATGCAAAAGGGCCTGGGGGGCAGGGAGGTGATATATAAATATGAGGGGGAAAAAAATTGTAATTGCTAGTCCTTAAAAGAATGACTCATCGCTGTGTGCCCGTCAGTGAGATGGCTCATGTCACCCATGTTTCTTTTAAGAGCTGCAGTTATGCAATATTAATGGCAAAAGGACATTTCAGGATGTCTAGAGTATGATGTAAAGAGATTCTGCATCTTTCATCTCTTGTAATGCTGAGATCATCCTGAAAAACATCAACCTGGTTAGAAGACCCCGTATCCGTAGGTGTTCTACTGATGATCTTGTGGGAGCCAGTTCAGCAGTTTGCTGACAGAGGCCACAATATTTCAAAATTTCCAATTCAGGCAACTCACAGTGCTCTAGGGACTTAGAGACAAGGTCATCTGAAGGCACATCTCAGGAGTGTCTCCAATATCCTGAAGCAGAGTCGTAGATCTTCTTTTCTCTGATTAAGAAATTACCTTCCCAAACTAAATAAATGAATATTTCAGTTGTAAATAATGATGCAAGATCCTTTTCCATCACAAACTTCAGTCAAGTAAACAGGAGATATGTATGAATTTGCTGCCATTAGCTCCCACAAGATTTTTCAAGTTGCTGCCACTTTCACCTTTTATAAAAGCAATCAGGAGAAAGTACACACCTTTAAAGGCACCTTCAGTGCCATGTTCATGAGGATGCTTCCTAAAGTATAATTTAGCATTCTTGTTTGCATGGGACCTTTTCTGAATTGCAGTGCCCTTCAGTTGCTGAATAGATGTAGGGTTTTGAAAGGAACACTGGAAGTGTAGCAACTTCATTTGTGTTCAACAGAACCCCTGAGATATCACTGTGGTCCAGTTGCTGCTGGGGTGGAGTTGCACAGCCTTTCCACCTCAGAGAAAGGACAACATGAGAAACTCATGTTTTATTTTGTGTTAGTACTGCTCCTTTATTAAAGATCAGAGAGCAAAGAACTACTTGTAAGAGAAATCATAAAAACCAGTTAAACACATATGCTATTGATTGCAGTCGTTCCTTCCCCACAGAAACTCAGCTTTATCCATATTGCCATTCTCCTTGTGCTCATCTTTGTTCTGTCCTTCCACCAGGTCTTTTCTTTGCTGCAGAAATTTGAATTCCTGCCTCAGGATGCTTCCAGTTTTGCTGTTGGTTGTTACTGCAGGATATACATTGCAGTGGGAACTGCATATGTAGTTAGCAGCACCCCAAAAAGAGGAATGTAGAAGAGTCTGAATAGGTTGCTGTGAAGTATCATGACATCAGGTCCTTTAGAAAGAGCTTCTGTTTGGTTTTTGAAGCTTGTTTGGTTTATGAAGCTTGTTAGTCTGCAATTTGGGCAGATAAGCTGATGCTGGGAAGGGCCTGTGAGGGGATTCAGATCCCAGGAATGGCGTGTGTAAGGTGGGATCAGGTGCAGTTCCAGCCGTGGTGCCACAGGCTCTGCCTCCTTGGGAAGGTACAGCTGCAGGGTATGTTACAATGGGAAATGGTTTAATGCATCCACTGCTCCTTTTTTCTAGAGATACAGAGGAGAAAAGCAAAGTAACTACTCCCTCTCTACTTCATGTTATAGCAAATGAATGCTTTTAAATTTTTTTCACTAATTTAATTAAGAATCTGGAGTGGGGAGGGTGTTGCTAGACAGTAAAACCTGCCTTGCTAATTCAGACCGTCTTCTCATCTTTTATTAAAAGATCCTAAAACATTACAATTGTATGTAATTATGATAAAAAAACATTTTGGAAATCATGCCTGCAATTCCAACAGGGTAATAAATAACTACAATTGACCAGTGGCTCTTCCTTAAAATACACTGAAAGAGGTCTTTGCCCTGAAATTACTGGTCTTCAGTAAAGTAAAATCTGCAGAATTGTACATGCTGGCTGTGGTAATACAAAAGGCCTTTAGCCTGTGTGCACTGGTTTAAATATTAACTTAAATAGTTGTAGCCAATAATGTTGACTGAAAGGTAGCTTTTCAGTGTTGACAAAGTAGGTACATTTAAAAGTTGTGGAAAACCTTTCCTGCTTGCAAGTGCAGCGACACCAACAGCTCTTGTAGCTTCTGTTCCTTAGAACAGAGAAGGAGTCTTGATCTCAATGTTTTATTTTCTTAGAACAATATTCAGTGGTCCCCTGTATGTAAATACACAAGGTCTGATATTTAGGTGCTTATCCAAATTCCCCATGGACAGTCTAATGAGAATAATGTTATTTCTTCCTCTCAGGATGGTTGGAGAGTCAGTCCAAGGGGAACAGATTACTAAACTGTGTTTGGAACTTTGGGATGGAACAGTATTTAACAGGAGAGTTTCTTGAACTTTGATTTCAAAGTGGGTTTTGGAACAATTTTTTCTTAGATATGGATACAGAGAGAGGTATTGTGGGCAGTATTTTAGCAAGTGCCAGAGGACTTGGCAAAACAATAAATGTGGTGTGTGCCTGTTTTCTCCCATCCAATGGTGTATGTAATTGAGGAGTTCATTAGAATTTGATATGTAAAAATGAATATGAATGTGTTTAAATACGCAGCAAAGCCTGAATTTCTGTTAAGGTCACTTCATAAGTGAAGTTTAAAGCAATCCTTAGGTTTTGTTTTAGTCTATTAGCTTGAATTATAATTGTCAGTGGACCTAATTTTAGGTAGCCTCTGACCACTTACACAACAGGCCAGAAAGTTTAAAACTACAAGTACTGGATTTATAGGATACAGTATTTCATGTTCTAAAGCCCCATAGAAATATTTCTGTTGGAGGAGGTTGGTTTTTGCCTTTCTAAGTCTCTCCTTATCTCACTTTCCTCTCCCAATAGCAACAGTTTAAATAGATTCCTTCCCACGTGGGAGGCTGAAACACAATCGTGTGGTGGTTGTGCAGCTCTGGAGGGTACCTGTAGGTAGTAATTTCCCTAATCAATGGTACCAGACGAGACAGAACTCAAACTCCATCTGCAGAAGATTGGTTTGTTTTTCTGAACTGCACAGACAGATGTTGTTGTTCTACAAAATGTTGCCAGTAGTGTATCAGTATTTTTAGTTTGGGAAGCAGCCCCAAGGCTGTGTGTGAAGGTGTTTGCTGGTCGTGGGAGGAATGACGGTTACAGTCAATGCCTTCCAAACACAGACCCAGCCCTTACCTTCCCATCTTGGAGAGGGATGTTTTGGGAAATCTCACAGAAGTTTTCATTACTGTGGGAACACTGATCTCTCGAAGTCAAAATAAATTCCAAACTGTGCCCATGCCAGTCTTAGTGTGGATCATTCTTATTTCGCTTGTGTGTGGCTTTCATTTATTTAACTCAAGCCTGGTTTTGATTTAACTGGAGCTGAACAATGAAAAGCCATTTGTACTGGACTGAGAGTCCTGCACAGCAATGCAGTTGGAATCCATGCTCCACAGAATCTTAGGAAATTTTCCCAACTGTGGGTGCAGTTGTTTTGCCTTGTTCATTCTGCTATACGTCCATTTTTTCTACAGGCATGGGCCTAAAACTCCATTAAGATGATGGTTGGTGAGAACCATCCCGAGCAGTGATACAGTTTGAATGTTGCATCATACTTAATACATCACTAGTGCTCCTGCTTAGTTGCTGGTGGATCCTATGGGGTCGCTGTTACGCAAGAGGCTTGTGTAGCATTTAGAATCTCATATTCTGTAGGATTTGAAGGTGTGCAAAACCTGGAAATATTTAATCTTAGTGCTTAGGCAACCGAATACAGACAGCAATAACATCATCAGCTGCAAAAACATACTGGTTTGGGAATAAACTCAGTAGGCTCATTTCAGTTTCTAACACTGTTTTATTTTACTTTCAGGCCCTTTGGGTTCATAATTACATCATCTGAGTATACAGATTTGATCTCTCTGGCTATTAGATATCCATGTTACGAAAGTTGGGGTTTAGGAGTGTTTGGTAATGAAATTCCATGTTAAAATTTGAGACTAACAAGTTCAGTTCGCTGTGAAGTTTCATTTTTCCTATTTATAAACAATGCTCAATTCCTAGGGAAACTCTTTGAGGCCATGACCAGCCACAGGAGACTCTTCCACCCATTTCTCCATGCTTATGTCATATATAAAGAAGGAAAAGATAAAAAAAAACCTCTTAATATAAGCAAATAAGATAATTGAAGAAGTGGTAGAGCTTTGTAAATATGCCTTATTTGTTTCTTGACTGCCATGCAGTTAGAGTGAAATAAGTTGTCTCTGGAAAAACTGTTACAGCATTTTTTGTTTAATTTTGTGTTCACAAGGAAGTGCCACACCAAATAACATGATTCCTGTTAAACATCAACTATTCATTTTCTCATACAATGTTGGGAACTTTGGATTTAAATGGAAATAACATCTTGGTTGTGTGGGCATGAAAATAAAAATGTCCATCTATTAATGCTTTGTGTTTATGCACAGAATTCAAAAGCAACTGAAAACTTTCTGGCAATGGAATTTCTTTTATGGCATTTCTGATCCCAGCACAGGTACTCTCCACAGAATTATTGTACCTTGGAAACAGAGGGGCTTAAAAATGCCCTGGAAAGGTGTGCCCAGCCTTTATTCTATTTTGGTTTTAAATTTTTTTGGCCCTTCGACTTTTATCTCCATCCAGCTCCTTGGGATTGGTAATCTTGGTTTCCATGCTGGCATTTTGCCATGCTACAATACTTAGTAGCATGGAAATAGGAGTTTGAAGCTGAGTACTTCGGAATATTTCCTTTTCCTTGTCATATGTTAGCAGAAATTTTGAAGGCTCCAGGCTTGAGTTCGTAGTGTGACAAATCTGTGATCGTTCAGTTGTTGCTTTGAACTAAATTAATGCTCTTAACTGAAGCCTCGTTAGATATGGCAGCTCTTTAGTTGTGTGCAGATTGTAGCTGGTGACCAGGTGATTTTATTGGCAGCAGCATTGCTCACAGTGTCAGAGGAGACAGTAAACTTGGAGACAGAAGGACTTTTGCACCTCAGCTGGTTTTCCTGCAGCCCAGGAATGAAGGAAGCTCCATGGTGTGGAGTGGAGGAACATCCCTGTGCCACTGCTGAGCTTACGTGGCTGTGAGGTGAACACCTCCCAAAAAGGTCATACCCGCTGCGGTGCTGCCTCCTGAAACTCTGCAAAATGGTATTAACCACTGAAAGGTTCATGGTTTGGGTCTTATCGTGTTAGAAATCTGTACCTTTTTTCTGGTAATGTGCTAATAAAGCTGCTGATTTCTTGCAGGTGGGTGTACATGGCATTAGAATAGAATTCATCAACGAGAAAGGATCAAAGCGCACGGCCACCTACTTACCGGAGGTTGCAAAGGAGCAAGGTCATTGTTGCACTTTATTTCATATGATCTGGTGAAGAATTTAAACATACCTATAAATCTAAAATGCAATATTTGACCTTGCACTGATGTCAGATGATGGAGCAATACTTAATTGTAAGAAGACTCTTATATAAAATGCCAATTACATGCCTGTGTCAGTCCTCTGTGGGGATTCAGTAAACTGTAGCTGTTTTTTGAGCCAGTCATAAATGCAGCATAGCTGTAGGAAAATAAAATATGGAGGGGTGATACAGTGCCTTCAGCCAGGCTAACAGTTGTTAAAAGCTGCCAATTTTGTATAGTTGTTAGTCTGTGATATTAGGGACATGCAGAAGCTCTGCTAAGTGATGGGATGCCTGGGCAATTATCCTAACAGCTAATTTATTCCTGAATTCCCAGAGATCAAGTTGCTTTTCAGTTGGGTACTTTTTGCTAGTACTTAACTCCTCTTACAAACATTGACTTCCCAGGGTTTTTGAGGGATGGAAGAGAATTATTTTCAATTTGAAGGTCCAAAGTAATGGCAGTGAAATTCCCTTTTAAATAGAGGCACAGCTTTAAGTTTGTGAATTTAAAAAGCTAGAGTAGATTTTGTTGAATAATCATCTTTTGGACCATCTTTTCGGCCAAGCAGCTCTGATTCAAAGGTCGATGGTGTGTTTCAGCCTGTCTCAGTCTTTTACATTTTGCATTGCTGCTTTTTTTTTCCCTCTCTTTCCTTTTTATATTTTTATATTTGTCTGTCCTCAAAGGGTTTGGCTGATACCTTTACTGAGGATCATCTTTAATTGATAATTCTCTTCCCAAATAGTTGCTTAGAAGTCTAGAGTCATTCCAGGCTTTTTTTTTAAAATTTGGGAGTGGGGGCGGAGGGTGTGCAGGAGGAGGAATGTGTTTAAATTTCTAAATAATTTTAGTAGACCATACATTACAATCTGACTCTTTAAGTCTCCAAAACTACCCATTTGTATTTTGTATGTACCCAAAACTACTGGGGTTTTTTGAGTTTTCTCATGTAACAGTGTGACTAATGTATTGCATCTTTTGGAAACAGCATGTCTAACAGCTACTTAAAATATTAGGCTTTTTAAAATCAACAAGTAGAAGTTTTGAATAGCGTAAAGATTTTATTCAGAACAGTAATGATTCTTTATTTTTAATCCATCACTTCTTCTATTACCCAGACACCTATAATGTAATATATAGTAGTTCTAAAACTACACATATCGCTGTAAATTTAAGTGATATTTATGAAGAAGTTCTGATCTCTGGAATTCTCTGCACATGTTTAACTAATAATTCTTTTCAATTTTACTTTATACTGAAATTTAATTTTCCGTACTGCCATAGCCATTTATAGTGTTTAAAGTGACTGTGATGCATGATCATACCTGAACGTTTGGGAGAAGTTAAATTTTGTCTCTCACCTCCAGTCTATGACACCTGGGTAGAGTGGCTTCACTTTTAGAATATTGCAACTATAAAATCATATATAAAAAATACATTTTGTTTGTAGAGTGAACTGTGTGTGTGAAGCAATCCTATATGTCGTGTTTCCTTCAGCTGTTCTGAAGTAGGGAAGAACGTTCTGGTCTCTACCGAACGTCAGCAGGGCCTCTGTCCTTAACAGCACCACACCCCCTTCTGTGTTTTTGCAACATCTGTTCTTATTGCTGGATTTCTCACTAATTTTTGCTACTGTAAAATTCAACAGGATGGGACCACATTCAAACCATAGATTCCTTATTGAGGAAAGGAGGCTACAAAGCTCCGATTACTAATGAGTTCAGGAAAACAATAAAGCTAACCAGGTACGCACCGGGATACCGCACCTTAGTCCTGTTTTGTAATGCTGTGAGTGTTCATTCCTGGTAAGTGCTCCTCGCAGATGGTAACAGTAACCTTTCCTGGATATGTCATTAATGATCTCTTTGTTTTCACAAGAGCAGTATGGACTTTGGAGGATCTGTATGCCTGGCACAGGGATTAGTGGCACTAAGCAAGAAGTAAGAGGCAGCTGTTCAGTACCAGGGCACGTATAAATCAGGGTACCTGCAGATTTCCTTTAGCTCTGCATGTTCCCAGCAGTGCTTTCCCAGTGTGTTCCTTGGCTGTAGGGGGTGGTCAGGGCTGTGGTTAACAGGGATTACTTGCCCTTGTCAGGCTGTATTTGGGCAGATGGTGTGTGGTGGGGCTGCTGTTGTACGTCACAGAGGCCCCTTGGTACCCCTGGATTCTCAGAGAAAGTTTTGAGTCTCTTTTATTCCCCTGTGGAGTACAGGTTTCCCTGATCTTAAGGTGTGAGACATGCAAGCCATGTTCTGCTTTGACAGCCAGTGTACCAGTGAAACTATGTCAGGGTAGGTATTCTCAGGAGTGAGGACAAGAATTAATATTTTATTTCATACTAGTTTAGTTTGATTTTGCTAATTTAATAAAATGTGGTCTTGAGGGCTTTGTGGGAGCCAAACTCTTTTAGAATTAGCAGCAGATACTCTGCCCGTAATATTGTAGCTACGTGGTGAAGGGTGGAGGATTGAATGTCTATAAGAATGGCTCTAAAGCTCTTCATTTGTATAAGCTTGCAGTGTAAAATGACTGCTGAACTTTAGTTACCTAGTTATCTGTGGAGAAATAGGAATTTTTAAAATTTTACGTTATAAGGAATTCTTGATCATTTGTACTCTTCAAGGAGATAAAGATTTTGTGTCTCAATGACTGTTCAGAATTCTGGATTCTTGTAGGAATCTAATTATTGTGGAGTAGCTCTGAGTAAGGAAAACATGCTATTCTGAAGGTAAAATTAGGGAGGAAGGATTTACAGAATCCAGCCACATTTCCAAATGCAGAACCCCAATTTCCTTTTAATTTATTTCAGCTGCACACCTTGTTATCTTCTTTTCAGAAAGAACAGAAGCTATCTGGAGATAGCTGAGGGCAAGAGTAACAGTGCTATAGTTCACCAATGACAATTTCTGTACACCTTAGTAAATAAGGAATATATTTTTCCTAGAAACAAAAATTCTGTAATTCTTCTTGCTATGTGATTTTGTTTGGAGCAACAGCATGGGAGCACAAAACAAACAAAAACCACCCTAAAACTCACACCACCCCCCCCACCAAAAGAAACCACCGAAAGCCATATGTTTGCTGTATTTCAGTTCACAACAATGAAACTGCTACCAAAATCAGTGGCCTCATAAGTGGAATGAACAAGCTATAATTTTTGATGTTCAGAAGAAGTATTTTTTTGACTGTCTGTTGTACTTGCCTAAAACCTCAGCTTCTGCTGACAGGTTAGAGACAGTATTAAAACAGTGACTGTTTGCCAGCATTAAACAACCTGTTTGAGAACCTCATTCTAATAACTTATTGTCATACACAGAAATATCTACTGGAAGAGTGGAATAAGGGCTTCTAACTTCTTTTTTAAGTCTGTAAATTAAAGTAAATGTCCTGTGTGTGAAGAAAGCTTTAGGCTGATCAAAACTAATCTGTCACTATCTTCACTTCAAGTTAATACCCAGCAATTATGGCCACGGTTTGAAAGAGAACTAAATAACAGTAGCACTGAAGGACTTGTACCAGTTGTAGGGTCTGGAATGCAGAGGGACAGATTCTCTTCCATCTGCTGAGCTGTGCAGAGGTCCCATGGTTGGTTCTGAAGTGTGGGGATTCCACTCCCAGCCCAGCTCTCCCGCCGGGTGCTGCGTTCCGTCCCCACCGATTCCAGAACAGCTGCAGCTGATCCCCTCAGCAGGGCCCAGTGGTTGTTGGTTAAATCATGTTCCTTGTTGTCAAACAATACTGATGCAAGTTTATCCAAATTATTTGATGCCAGGGCCTGGATTCTGCTTTTAGTTACATAGAACTGACCAGTGTTCTGGTGGGACCTCTCCATTATTTTTCAACCATCTTGGGAGTCAGGAGAGGTCCCAGTTGAGTGGAAGTTTGCACATGTTCCGTTTTTAGGAAGGGTGGTTAGTACAGTCATAGGTTTCTATTCCCTCTACATCGAGCAACACAATAGGCAACCATTTTTAACAGTTCTGTTTGCCTAAAATATTTTTTATGAGCACTTACGCTGTGATTTGTGATGTGATTCAGGAATGACCCCGACCATTGTGGCAGTTCCCTCCCTGCCCCTGTGCAGCTGAAGTCAGTCCTACTCCCAGTATCAGAAGTATGGAGTTGTTATCTCTAAACAAACCACCGGTGTAGCATTTCTAGTGCTACTTGCACCTTCCTGGTAACAGTTCCTGAATTGGCTTCTTCGCTCTTTTCCAGGTACCGCAGTGAGAAGATGACGATGAGCTACACAGAGTACCTTGCCCATCGTCAGCATCATCACTTCCAGAATGGTATTGGGCACCCCCTTCCACCATACAACCATTATTCCTGACACTGAGCCGCATGACCAGTCACTGGACCTCTCTGCAGACCTCTTCCCAGGAGACCCTGCCCCTTCTTGGTCTAGCTATCTCTATTACTGTACCATTTTATGATGATAGTTTCCGTTGCCATGTTGAGGCTCCTTAGTTGGTTCAGCTCATCATGGCAACGGGAGGGAAAACTGCGTTACTACAAAGATCCCATACTTTTTTATTATCTATTCACTGCAGATTTTTTTGCAGCATATACCCTTGGGTTTTGTATGAAAATTTAAATTTCTACTTCATTAACATTGAATTATATCAATCAAGGCTTTCTGTGACTGTGGATGGAAGGAAGAGTTTAAGGATTGCAGTTAGGGATGCTTTGCTTAGCAAAAAGGCATTCATGGCTTATGCATTAATAGGTGTGACAGGGAATGAAACATATCAGATTCAGGTATTAAAGGAGACAATGAATTGCATTTTCATAACATTCTTAATAACGTGTGTACAGTATCTCACCCTCACGGTAAAGGTTCCACGTAGCTTTGTACATGATCTTCAGACCCAGCACATGCAGCCGGAACGCCAAGGCTGACACACAGAGTGCTTTTTTTTGGATGAAGAGAAGCGATTACGTGTACAATGAGAGGTGATGTTAACGTGGCAGCATTTTCAGAATCAAGTGGCCTAATTGGTAGGGCATGACATAATCCAGCAGGCTCCCAGATCCCTTTGTCTCTCATTCTGTGCTGGGAATCACGGGCAACTCAGCCCTGTCAAGACTCGTCATTATAATGCATTTGTAATGAGATGATGCCTTTCTGATGACTCAAATTAGGAGTGACATTTGTTTTCTAAAAACAGGTTGGTGAGTAGCAGATGTCATATTAGGAAGAAAATGGATTTAGATTTTAGTGCCTTTGACTATAACATAACTATATACTTATATATGAAATTCATAGGAAACATATAGCAAGTATTCCAGATGTTTTAGCAAACCCTGTTGAAGCTGCTATGGCATCAGGGTTTCGGACATTTTTTTTTCTTTAAAGTGAGATTATTTTTTTTTAATAGTGAACTTATTTCGGAAAAGAGAAATCCCAGTTTTGTTCTTTCATCTGCACTTGAGCTTGTTGAGTTTTTTCAAGTCATGAATAGTTCAATCAAGTTAACTATTGTTTAAGAAAAGAAAAAAAAGACTGTTGTGAGACAGCCAGGACAAGTATGCCATAATGTTACATGTTTTCATCTATTGCAGGAATAGTGCTTGAGAGCTGTAAGTACTGTGTAATAATTCCGATACCCCTCCACACAGTAGAAGAAAGAAAACCAATTGGAACTTTTTCCTGCTGTAAAAATAGGATTTAGTAAAAGGTATGTGTGGTATATTTGCAAGCCCAGTCGATGGCAGGAGCTCACTCCTTCCTCCTGTGCCTGCAGAACTCCCACTGCTGCCTGTTGCAGCTCAGTGTGTGTTCTAGGGGACAGCACAGGCCGTCTGTTACAGAAAAGACCTTCCTAATATGTGTTAGTAAACCACAGTAAGCAGAAATTCCAGTTATTTTGAATAATGAATGTTTGTAAATATAGAGAGATATAAAATTCAAGTAGATGAAATCCATTAAAATTCAGTTGTTATAAAAAAAATTGGACTAACTGTAAAGATGTTTCAATAGGGTTTCAAAACCAGATAAGGATAAATTATGCTCATCCCTTATGCGAGGTTAGCTCTGCCACTTAATTTCTATGGAGGTTCTTGTAGAAGGTCTCTGATATTCCTTCATCCACAGCATTTATGTCCAAATATTACCATTTTCAGTTGCAATGCCTTAATTTATAAGCGGAGGGCCTGAAATTTCAGGAGCCAAGAGATGCCAGCCAGAAGCTGCAAAAATTAGTAGATGTTTATACAGAGGCTATTTTGGATGATACTGTTGTCTTGTTTCTACTTGGGGATCACTTTTAGATGAATTAGTCTTCAAGTGGAAATGTGAACAAGTGGCTACCTGATAAGAGTTGTGTTGGTTTTTTTTCTTGCCCTTATAGGGAACCTGAGCACAAACTGAATCATTCTGCTGCAAAAAAAAAAAAAAAAAAGTCATCCAACCCCATCTTTATCTGTCATCTCGTTACAGCTCGCTCGTGCTTCTGCATGAGCTCATTGTTAGAAGTTTTTTAAAAAGATCTATTATATATAAAAATATATATGTATTGAAAGGTGCTAATCAACCTCAAGAAGGTCACGTGACTGGTCATGCGGATCTAAAATCATATCAGATTTTTTAAAAAATCTTCGATATATGCAGATGTTATACAGAATTTCTTACCAGTGTAATAATGATATACTGATGAATAAACAATCCTGCAGGTTTTTAAGGACAAGGTCAGCAATACTTCCCACCATGGCTTGGGGGAGAAAAGGATAGTTTTGTCTCCTTTTTGTATACAGCATAATGCACAATGCATTTTTGTCTATCTCTCAGTAGCTGTTGCTTAAAAATATAGTTAAAGGGTGTTATACAAACTGTAAAGGTGTGCTTTTGAACCGAGCTCATGCCAGACCCTTCTGGACCAGAGTTTTGTATCACTAATTAAAAAACTGTTACAGAGTCTGTGGTCAATCAGATTGTATGATATTTTTCTCAAAGATTGGAATAATCAGTCTACCTACAGTGTTTCTAGGGCACCTACCTCCTCAGCACACAGTGCTGAAACTGCTGCAGATTGTTTCTGTGTAATTGTGGGTTTCTTTGTACCAAACATGCAGCTCACTGTGACATGCACTGGAACAGAATAGGTCTGTTTGCTTAAAGCTGATCAACAATTGCTCTCACAAATGTCATTCCCTTGGAGTTATGTTTAAGTACCTTTTAGTTGTATTGTTGGGGTTAGTTACAGATTTGTTTTTCATTTGGGGTACTTTATAGAAGTTAAGGTACAACCAAGTAGCTTATATTTCACTGTTTGTTAAGTTGAAATGCTGATTTTTTTTTTTATGAGCACTACTCAGTTTGCCTTATTCCATTAAGGAGATTGTTGGGGGCTTTTTTTCATTCTCTTGCTTAATGTTCCTAAAAACCCTGTTCTGTAAACTGAGATCGACAACCAAACCGTAGACTTGACGTGAAGCTGTTCCTTAGTGATGCTTCAAGTGGCCTTCCCGCTGCCGCCGCAGCTCTGCCGCACCATCCCCGCGCTGCTGCCACGGCAGGGAGGGCGCAGCCCGGTCCTGACCTCAGAGACACTCTGGAGCCGAGGGTGGCACAGCCACTGGCACACCTGGCGTTTGTATACGGACCTCTACTTGTCTTCAAATGTGCGGGTTTTTAAAATTGTTGTCTGGAGTAGGTTACATCTCTTATGTGTGTTAGATCGAACCAAAGAAGCCTCCAGCCATGCCCAAATGCTGCTCCTAAAGCCTGCCTTCCAGTCCTTACAAAATCCCTGCAGGATTAAATGTGTTAACTTTTTTATTTTTGTACAGTTTCTAACTGATTTTTGCTAGTGATGTTAATTAAGTTTATTTGGGGAGTCTGAATATCTCCTCCATTTAAATAAACTGGTGACTTTCCTTTTATGTTTAAAAAAAAAAAAGTAAAAAAAAAAAAAAAAAAAAGAGAAACCCAAAGTGTGCCTCTCAGATTTAAGGGTTTCTGGTTACATTTATTCTTAAGACCAGCAATGATTCTTTATATACAAAGATATGTTTTCCTCATTTTTTTATTACTGTTAAAGAAAAAAATAAAAAAGAAAAACCTCTTTCTTTGCTCTGGACCCAGTAATTGCGCTGGTACATAAACGCACTGAGAAAACAAACTTTTGTTTGAAACTTTTGTAACAACTTATGACTGTTTTTGTATATCAAAGTTGATTCTTTTCAAGATATTTGGATCTAGTTTCTAAGTTATTTTAGCGTTTTATATGTTACAAAAAAAAAAAAAAGAAATTACTTTAAATTGTTCACCAGCATCTTGAGTTATCTTCAATGCCATGGTGACACACAGTGGGCTTAGAGCTACCTGGAGTAGCTTGTAAGGCCTCGCTCTTTTCCTTCCTTCCTTAGCAACTTGATTGATTACAATAATATCACAGATTACCTGAACCCCCTTCCTTTATAACTAGATCCTCCTTCCTTCCACATTTAATTGCTATTAGTGTGAAGAAACTGTTGAAATGGGCATTTAATATAAGTACGGCTTAAAAAGAGAAAAATGAGGAAAAAGAAAAAAAAATGCTAGAAGGTTATCTGTGGGTCTGTGAGATATGGCTGTGGAAAGATATTGTAGTAGTTTTAACACTATTGTTATTACCTTTTAAATCATTTACCCAATAAAATAAGGAAAAAGAATCACCATTTCTTTTTATGTCTCTCTGCTTAATTGTGTGGCTTGGTCAATGTTTTTATTTAAGCATTTGTACCTGGTGTTAATGTCAAAGGCTAATGGTGTGTTAGAAATATTTTCCTGGGATTAACTGTCTTTCCCTTTTGTCTGCTGTAGGAGCAGACTGGGGGACAGGTACCTGCAGCTTTCAGTCTAATTCAGAAGGGAGTCACTCAACACTGCAAGTTAAATCATTTATATTAGTCACTTCAGTTATTATTTATATCAGTATATTTATTGGTATTTATATCAATTACTAGTTCAGTTTTATACTTTTTATGTTGAACTTTGCACATGGATTTCTGTCCAGGCCTGAGCTTCTTCCTGTGACACAGGGAAGTGGTTTCAGTCTTTTTAAACAAAATTTGCTTGCAGAACCAGTTGTACTGGTGTAACCAGTACATGGCCTACACCACTTACAAACAGATTGGTCAGCACAATATTGTTGCAAAATGTGTATCAAAGAATCTCTGTCAAAGCCTCAGTCCAGCTGATGGCAAAGCAAAGTACCCAGAGAGGCAAAACCCCGTTGGAGAACTTTGTTCCCTGAGCCAAATTCTTGGTGCACTGAGAGACACTTTCTGCTGAGTCCTCTGTAGGATAATTCCTGAGACAAAGCATTCCATCTCACTGGAACTCAGGTCTGATTTTAGAAGGGGTTTGTTTGCCTGTGCAATGCAATATTCATAGCTCTGCTGGCTGTAGATGCAAAGTCTTTGAAAACAAACCAGTGGGATCCATGTAACCTTTGGATGTTGAAGACTGATGCAGCCATTGCTCCACTTGCTCCAAACCTGCCCAAGTAAATAGCTTCCATTGCTGGTTTTATATCTCACAGCTTTGGTATCATTAGTCTGAACTGCATAAAACCTTCCTAAAACCCTCAGGCCATTGAAATGTAGAGCTAGTTATCACTTCCTACCCAGAGTTTCCCACTCTTCTCAGTACTTTAGCCAACTCTGCTGTTATCGTGCTATTAAAAAAATCAAACTAACAGAGTAATACTGAGGCTGGTTCAGAGATGGAAACTTGCTTATTCTTACGTATTTGGTGGTACTAAACAATGAAAGGCTGATTTCCAGTTAGTTATAGAGAGCTGTTGAGAATAATTAGCAGTGCCTGAAAAGGGAAATTGCTTTCTTGGTTCATCTCAGGCTGCTGTACAGCACCACACTGGATTTCTACCTAAAGCTGTTATATACTGTTCCAGAGAAATTAAGCTGGATAATTGATTCTGTTCCCCAGCTGCCTGAAAAATTAAAACCTCTAAGATGCATATATAATTATACAGGTGGGCATATCCAGTGTGTTCTTTTTCCAGGAACAGTATTTGCTAGGAACCTCACACAAGGAAGTAACCTGCTTGTCTGAGCTACACTGGGTGACAAGAATACATTTATCTAGATTGCAATAATATCAGTTACAGCCAGAAGCATTTCTGAAGTGCATTAAAACTACTTTGCCATCACCTCTGGTCTGGGGCTGTCCGAGTACATTACTGCAGCAGCTTTCTGAACAAAGTTTTGAGCTGAAAACTTCTGTACGTGTTCTCCCACCTTCTACTAAAGTGCCATGAAATGGGAACTATAAGACACTGCCAAATCTGGGGTGGGAACAGTGGAGGAAGCCTCATGGTACTGTAACACTCTTTCCTGAGCTCTTTACCTGAAAGACAAGGACAGGAAATATTTAAACAGTGATTAAAGGATTTATGTCCCACAGTGAGCTCTGCCAGTCAACTCAGGCTGTTGCTGACTGGCAGGTAGCAGGCACAGGTCATACTGAACTGCTTAAAACTTTCAGACATCCCAGTAACCATTGTTCTCCCAGGAACTGCTGTGTGCAAATGGATGACATCAGGCAGTACAGACTGTTTCAGACAGAAACCTCCGTATTTTGTCCTGAGTTATAATTGGCTAATATTTAATGCCTCTGTGACTCTTGACTGTTATGTTACAAACTGAAGTGGAAAGGCAATTTTGGTTTTCTTACCTAATTATAAAAAGTCTTAAGCAAGACAAACTCCAGGCCTGGCAAAATTAGAATGATAACAAAACTGTCCAATATCCATTAAAATGCATTTATTTGTTTTAATTCAAAGTTTTAACAACTATTTGCCCAATGATCTGCACTTAGGGCACAACAACAAAAAAAAATCCCATCATCAGACCAAAATACAAAAACAAGTACACAAATTACCCCGTATTTGTAAAGTTACCTCATAACCAAGGTTTAGCACATTAAAAAGTTTACAAAATTCATAACACTCTTACAAATTATTCAGAACTAACAGCATATGTGGCAGTTGAGCCCATCCACGTCCACCCTTGCCAAACCATTATGTGCCTGGACAACGCTGTGCTGGAACTAGAGGGTGGGGTAACCAGATCTGCAAGTTTCCAAAGACCCCTTTGTGGTCCAGCCCAGCTCCAGCCCCCTGGCACAGCGTGGATGGGGAGAGCAGGGAGTGCTCACTGGTCTGCCTGCTGCGTTCTCTGCAGCATTGGGATAATGACTCAGTAAATGCAGAAATAATTTAAAAAAGTACAAAATTGACCCTGAAGAAAAATAAAATTATTTATAAAACAGCTTGGCTTTGACTAAGTTACACCAACAGCTGCAAGACAGATTTACAGCAATATCACTTAGAGTACGAGATCACAAAATCAACAGATTCCTTATGAGTCTTGTCACCATAAAACTGAAAGCATCAAAGCTGACCTGTCTGCCTACAGAAACCTTGCACCTCCTACCTGGGCTGACTGGGCCCTCTTCCTGGCTTTTGGCCTATTCAGAGCTTTGTTAACAATTAGGACTAATTTAATTCCTAAGAATCCACCTCGAGTGAAACAATTGCAACACAAGAAAACAGCACAACTCTATTTTCCATTAGCTATGGATGCATAGAAAAACAAGTGCTTCTGGTTTAGATGCAAGACTTAGGACATAAAAGTACAGTCATTTAACAGTTGCAAATACCATTTCTGAAAGGAAAATACAATTGGGCTTTACAAAATGATATCAAATATACACAAATATCAAAACCCTGATTGTGGCCAGGAAGAGAAATTACAATTAGGTACTCTCTCACTTCAAGATTTGCAAATGGACTGACTTTTCCTGTCTCCCAAGTTCAGCAAGGCAGCAGCTGCTCAAGCACACGTAGGCTTTGCCTATAAGCAGCATTTTTGAACTGTAAGAAGCTGAACCAAAACCAGCTCCAGGTGCGTGTTCATAGACTGGCTTTTCATCAGTTTACACATGCACGGTTCATTTTCACCCTTCAAAAGAAACAAGACGCAAATTCTCCTTTGGTGCTTAAATAGCAAGAAGCTAAATGAATAAATGAATAGATAAAGCTCAGACACTGTTCAGTGTCTGAGTCCTTGGAAAAATAGCACTGCAGGGGTCCTGGACAGCTAAAGCTGTGGCACAAGGTAGTGGGTGCAGAAATTATACTGGCTCCCTTCTGTGCTCTGGAGGGCTGGATAAACAAACCCATCAGTAAACAAGTTTATTAAAGTTAATAATGCTCCATTTATGGGTACATTTGGAGGGAAATGTAGCCACTCGGTGGCAGCAGGAGCAGTTTCCTTGCTCCTTGTTTCTTTTGAAGTGCCTACAGTACTATTAGAGGGCTCTGTTCAGACCCCTTAATACATACCAGTGTCTCTGTGAAGGCCAGGCAGCAGCACTGCACAAGCATTTTTTTCTGGGATTGTGCCCAACTTACTCTTGGACAGTAAATGAGCCCACTTTGGGGTGAGATTTTACACTCAGCTTCAGCAGTGGGGAATAGCGGGTGTGGCTGTCCAGCCCAACTCCTGCCCCCACCTATTGCCAGTGTTGCCATAACTGTGAGTGCCACCACAAAGGACTGGGGCACATTTGGCCAGGAGGACCAGGACAACCCTTCACTTGTACACGGCACTGCAGCTCTGTAAAATCTCAGCACCAGGTACCGGGCAACAGCTTCAAGTTATCTTGACATAGACTGTGTGCGTAATACCCCAGCAGAGAAAGCAGTTAGCTCCCAGGAGCAGCAGGAGAGTTTTGTTCTTTCATTTCCAGCATAAATAAGCATAAAAGCAACCGAAGAAATCATCTGTACAGTGTACATCTGTATAGTATGCCTATAAAAGAAACCTTTAGGGGAAAAGAAAAATCAGCCTCTGTGAGGGAAAACAACAAATACCTGCTACAGAGATGAAGCTTTCCCGTTCTTCCCCATATCTTGCATGCACATGAAACAAGCTCGGCTGACGCACATTCCCAAGAGATACCAGAGACAGATGAGGAATAAAGGGTAAAGGATGTGAAGTTCCATGATGGTTTCTTCAAAAAGTTTGTTCCCTTTCTGCTCCCATTCTGACCTGCCCCTCCCTTCAGTGGAGCCTCACCCTGGCTCTCAGCCTTGCTCTCCCTTCTCTCTCAAGGAACTGTGGAAATATTAAGTTTTAAAAGCCTTCAAAAAGGGGCACAGGGAGGGAGGGAGGGAATAATTGTGACTTTTGGGCCTGTCACTACAGGAAAGACATTGGGGCTCTGGAGCACGTCCAAAACAAAGCAACAGAGCTGCTGAAGGGTCTGGAGCACAAATCTGATGAGTGGGAGCTGAGTGGGCTCAGCTTGGAGAAGAGGAGGCTCAGGGTGGACTTTGTCACTAGCCAAGTGGGGGTCAGTCTTTTCTCCTGGGAAATAAGCAACATGACAAGAGAAAATAGCCTCGAGTTGCACCAGGGGAGGTTTAGATTGGATATTAGGAAAAATTTCTTCACCAAAAGGGTTGCATTAAACAGGCTGCCCAGGGAAGTGGTGGAGTCACCATCTCTGGAGGTATTTAAAAGATGGGTAGATGTGGCATTTGGGGACATGGGTTAGTGGTGGGCTTGGCAGTGCTGGGTTAATGGTTGGCTTGATGATCTTAAAGGTTTTTTTGGACCAGCATAACAGGGAAAAGCACAAGTCAGCC